TTATTATCCCATTCCCAGTTATTAATGAGGGAAACCCATCAATTTCTTCCAATACCTGCAATGTTCCTGTCTCCTACCTTGGAGCGATGGGTTCCTTTTGATTCGGTGCCAGAATGTCAGGAGCAGCATGATGAAAAAAATTGAATTCTCCCCCTTCCCCACCCTCCCTCACTAATTTTACTTTATATTTTCCATTAATATTTTCTCTTTTTTGTTTTTCAATGCTCCAATTCAGAGCACCACAATTGAAGGAAGATGTTGACAAGCTGGAAAGTGTACAGAGGAGGGCGACTACAATGATGAAGGGTCTGGAGAGCAAGCCCTATGAGGAGCAGCTTAAAGAGCTGGGCATGTTTCGCCTTCAAAAGAGAAGGCTGAGAGGAGACATGATGAGGGCCATGGATCAAGATGTGAGGGGAAGTCATAGGAAAGAGGGAGCAAGCTTGTTTTCTGATGCCTTAGAAGGAGACTAGGACACAATGGAACAATGGCTTCAAACTAAAGGAAAAGAGATTCCACCTGAACATTAGGAAGAACTTCCAGACTGTGAGAGCTATTCAGCAGTGGAACTCTCTGCCCCGGAGTGTGGTGGAGTATAAGGAACCTGGGGAAAACTATACCAGCCGATTGTCGTTAATTATTAGGAACTTAGCAAGGAAAGGAACAGGGGTTTTTAAAATAGTGAATCCCACAAGCTGCCAACCAAATTATATATAGGTGCAGGGGAATTTTTGAAACAGGAAAGAGGCAACTGGGAGATCTTGAAACTGTTTCTTCAATTGTTTTCACTGCCACCTTTTTCTTTGGTATTAAGGCTGAGTTGTATGTGAAGAGTATACTTAGTAACACCCTTTTGTGTTACAATAGTGTTTGTTTTATTTAGAGGGTTTAAATCACAATGATGTTCACACAGAGGCTGTTGTGTTAACAATAAATAAAATGTTTATTTAACAGGCTTAAACTTCTTCTGGTACAAATGCGTAGTGGTTTCAGTAAGTTACTGGTACATAAGCTTCTGGTTACGTTTGATGTACAATTCTTAGATGGGTTCTGGGTTCAAATCTTGATGTTAACGAAACACGAGATTATCTCAGGAAATTAATCACTGATAACAATTCCAAACAAAATTCCCCCTTTTTGGAACCTAGCCAATAGCCTTTGGCCTAGCCTTCCTCGGGGACAAAGAACAGACCACAAACCAGGTCCTGTTCCACTATCTGTATTCCTAGCTAATGTCTCTAGCTCTTGAATACCACAAAAAGGTACATTTTTTTCTTTTTAAATGCTAGGTTCCGCCCTCTATTTTCTAACCAATCCTGGCCATCTAATTTATGCTTCCTGGATTAGGACATGCCCTCTCTAGAAAACCCTTAACTAAGATGCCGTCTCCTTGTTTCCCTATCCTAAGATGGCCCCCAGGGCTTCGCCAGGCCTACATTCTAGCTGCTTAAGGTAAGGAGTTCTTTACATCTCCTTCTTTGGAGGCTTTTAAACAGAGGCTGGATGGTCATCTGTCAGGGGTGCTTTGAATGCAATTTTCCTGCTTCTTGACAGAGTGGGCTTGGACTGGATGGCTCATGAGGTCTCTTCCAATTCTATGATTCTATGAATTGCGCAATTGTGGTAACAATAATAACAATCACGGTGTCATTAAAGAATAATAATAGTGCAGGAAAGTGCAGCTATGAGGAAATACACTCACAGGACCACAAGTTGCACTGAAGCGTAGAGGTGAAATATCGAAGGTGTTCAACATATGTATCCCTTATTAACAATAATGGAGTGGAATAGTGGTTTAATGTGAGGGTGTCACTGCTGAGCATCTCAACACCTAAGGCAGCTCACTATCGATTGGGGTTATTATATATTAACAGCATTGATGTCTCCAGCCTGTGTGATCGGTTATCTCCATTAGTGTGAAGGCCTTCCCATTTGAAACTATTATGGAATAGAATTTTGCCCTTTGGTCTTTTGATTTGTCAACTAACCCATTATAGTCCTTTGGAACGAGGGGTATAAAAGACCCTCTCCTCCTGCTGTTTAGGTAAGTCCTTTGCTCTTCACATATTACCCGCACTCATAGATTTTGCACCCACTCCAGCTTTGATCTCTGCACATGCTCAGGCTTCCATGGTCTTAAGAGCCTTTCTTACTACTGATGTGTCTAGCTAGGCAAGCTATGGTTGGTTGTTTTGCATCTGTTGTGATGTTTTTCTGAAAGAAGGTTCTTGCTCTCTAAATAGCTACCCTCGCTTATCCCTGGCTGGAGTGCTGCATCCAGTGGGGTCACCATCCTCCAGCCAAAAAATAAAAATGAACTTTGAAACATGGAACATATGGACACTGATGGACAACACTGACAGTGAACGCCCCAAATGCAGAACTGCTATGATTGCAAGGGAGCTGGGACCCTGCTATATGCCTGTGAGACATGGCTATCTACAGACGCCACATGCAACTCCTAGAATGATTCCATCAGTGTTGCCTCCAAAAAATCCTCCAAATCTCTTGGGAAGACAAGCGGACAAATGGAAGAAGCAAAGACCACCAGCAATGAAGCGATGGTCCTCTGCCATCAATTTCACTGGACCGGCCACATTGTCTGGATGCCCGACCACCGTCTCCCAAAGCAGTTGCTCTACTCCAAACTCAAGAACAGAAAACGGAATGTTGGTGGGCAGGAAAAGAGATTTAAAGATTGGCTCAAAGCCAACCTTAAAAACTCTGGCATAGACGCTGAGAACTGGGAAGCCCTGGCCCTTGAGCGCTCCAGCTGGAGGTCAGCTGTAACCAGCAGTGCTGTAGAATTTGAAGAGGCACGAATGGAGGGAGAAAGAGGGAAACATGCCAAGAAGAAGGCATGTCAAGCCAACACTGACTGGGACCGCCTTCCATCTGGAAACCAATGCCCTCACTGTGGAAGAACATGCAGATCAAGAATAGGGCTCCATAGTTACCTATGGACCCACCGACAGAACACCGATCTTGGAAGCCAATCCTACTTGGACAACGAGGGATCACCTAACGTGAGTACCCACTCTTTGCAAGTGAAATCCATCTCTTCCTATTTGGTCTAAAGTCTATCATTGTAGTCCCTGCCTTTGTTACTAAATCTAGACTTCACTAACATGTCACATGCTACCAGTTATGTGCCTAAGATTGTAAAATTAAGGATGCAGTTTGACTCTTGTCTTTGGAATTGAAGTGGAACTGGCACAGATCTGAATTGCCCAAAGCTCAGGTTGTGTGGATACTTTGGGAGTGGTGTAGCTGACCATCCGATACTACAGTTGTGCACGGAAACATTTCCTTTTGTTTCATCCATTCTTTCACTACTTTTGTTAACTTTGGGAGTATGTAATAGAAAGGCCCCTCCCGGTACAAATATCAGCTCGACACAAAAGTAAGTGGGAGCCAACTCAGACTCCTTGTCTGCTTTTTCTGTGGTGCTCCATTCCTCCTTGCCTTTGAAGGAGAGTGTATGTGTGTGGCATGTGGGCCCAGAAAGCGTGGCCGTCTGCCTGCAGCCGAGTGCCTCCTATAGAGTAAGAATGAGAACTTGCCTCCTTTCCTTGGAAAGAGTTGTGTGTGTGTGGTGTGTGCTGGCCCAGAAAGAGTGTGCTCCTGTGCAGCTGAGCACCTCTCCTCTAGAGTAAAACAGCTTTAATACCTAAAATGATGGGAAGGGGAGCCTGGGAAACCCCCCACCACATGAGGCAATAGAAAATGGATCTTTCTGCACTCAAAAGCGAAAAGAGGTATCTGCCCTCCCAATTTCAGGAGGCTCCTAAAAATGGATCGGTACCCCACCAAAAGCTGGGACACAAAACAGGTCAAGGTTTGCCCCAAAAGTACAACCCTATCAGGTACACACCAGTCCATGGATCAGTATTCCAGGCATAGATCTATAAAGATCATGTTGGTGTCATACACATAATTAAGTTGTAGTACACATAGATACTTTTTGGATGATGCAGAATGGACACATCCAGCTGATAGTGGTACAAGTGGAGTTTTCACATGGAAGCATTATATACACACAATAATTCACCTGGAGAGGCACGTCAATGCACATTGTACGCTATCTAATGAGAGACAGGTTCTGGCTTTCATTTGTTGGCCCATCACAGTATTCAGTGTAGAGATTGCATAGTACTTTCATATCAGGAGCATCTTGAGAAGCTGCAAGTTGCTTCTGGTGTGAGAGAATTGGCTGTTGCAAGGCTGTCGTCCAGGAGATGCCTAAATGTTTTGATATTTACCATCTTGTGGGAGGCTTCTCTCATGTCCCCACATAGTGAGCTGGAGCTGACAGAGGGAGCTTATCCGTGGTCTCCCCGGATTCGAACCTGTGATCTGCCGGCACAAGGGTTTAACTCATTGCATCACTGGGAGCTTCTGCATAGTACTATCACAACAGAGCTCTTCTAGAGATTTTACACTGCATTGAAATAATGTAGGATTTTGGCCATGGCACTTTTTGATGTTACTGATATAACGTTAATATGGAGGAGGAAGAGAGCAAGAACAATATATTTACAGTAAGTGCTTTACTGAGAGGGGAAGCAATAAGAGGCAGAAGTGGGGAGACGCAAAAGCACCAGTCCTTGAGCAAGTCCATGAAATCAATTTTGAGTACAAAAAGATGTTCTTCCATACTACCCTTGGAGGAAAAAAGCAAGGTACAGAGTTCGGTGACAATAACATTCTTAGACCACTCTCCATTACAGCAATCTCGTAATGCTAAAATCCTGCTACAAAGTGCAAATCTGAAACAGGCAAAATTTTACATTGAATCCAGATCTTTTCAAATGACCAAATAAATTAGCCATTGTGTCTTTTTCTCTCACACATGTATCCTGTCTTTGCTTTGGGTGGCTCCGTTCATCTATCTATCACAATGTCAGAGTGATGCTTAAGAAGGTAGCTTGGGCACATTTTGAGGGAGACTCTTTGGAGCAAAATAATCTGTATGATCCCCCCCCCCCCCGCTTTTTTTAAAGCCTGGCCATGCCCCAAAAAGAATATTTGTGTGATATATATCACTATATCATTTACACTGCCCATTTGGGGCTGGGAGATTATCCTTTCACTCCAGTTCACTGTCATACGGAGGCTGATTTCGTGTATGGCACATGTATGCAACATAACAGTTCTGTATGTGCATGTGGACCTACACTGTTCCCAACAATCCTCTCAACTCAGTGTTAGTTCCAGTAACCACTGATTAGGGAAATCAGAGAATGGCTGCATCGCCTGCCGAAACGTCCGGAGAAGCATACCAATGTCCAGTAGGTCTGTGTGATATGCAAAGGATCTATTCTAGGACTTTCATGTAATATGATTTTGGGGTATATACTAGAACCCTATTTTTTTTGCTTGAAATAAACAAAGAAACCATAGAATTGTATAGGAAGACTTCCTGATGGTTAGAGAAGTGCTCTCTCTAGACCAGTGGTTCTCAACCTTTCTAATGCCACGACCCTTTAATACAGTTCCTCATGTTGTGGTGACCCCGAACCATAAAATTATTTTCATTATTTTATGTGACAATATTGTTCTTCAGACTACAGGCTGTTCCTGAGGTACAAATGACTCCTAGTTAAGAATGGGTCTGAGACAAGGGAAGTTCACTCCTAAAAGGGTTATCAAAGGAAAAAGTCTCTCCACTGAAGCTTTATCCCCAATCCTTGTTCCATTTTTGGAAAGGCCATTCCAGGGAGGCAGAGGATGTGGGGCTGAAGGAGGTGGCAGCGCTACCCCTTTCAAGTGGCCGATTGACCCCCCTAGGGGTCGCGACCCCCAGGTTGAGAACTGCTGATCTAGACCTCCAGTGCAATTCTGTGGTCAACTTCAAGCCGGTGCAACTTTTGGTGAAAGTTGGGCATAAAATGGTGCTGGAGGCCTCAAAAGAACTGTTCTCTAGGCATCATAAGGTCCTCCAGAGGTATTTCATGTTATGAAAACTTCTTCACATATAAACAAACCACGTTTGAGCGGCTCACATAATAAGCAGGCCTAGTGTTTGGTGTAAACATAGCCAGACACAGAATGATTGCATCATCCACTGAGACGGATGACTACAGAGTTCTCAGCAGGTGATGTCATAATTGTGCATCTGGCTATGGGACCATAGCCAGATGCTTCTCCCATCCTCTCTACTAGCAAAAGAGTGACCACAAGGAGCAGCTATTGCAGTAACATGGGGAAACTAGTCTTTGCAGAGGAATGGATCAGTGTCTCCACATGCCATTAAAAAGATGCCAGCTTCAATGCCATAGAACAATGCCATGTCTCAGGCATGATGGTGGACACAAAGTAGTGCTGGTGTATATGCATGGAGAGCCTCCTGTTGCTGCTCTTCGTCTGCTAGTGAGGAATTCTTTTCCCAAGAATATGTGAAAGAGCTTTGAATCTCCAAAAGCACATTTGGCAAAATCCTGAACACATACATGCACAAAACTACACACATGGCTACAATGAATGTTTCATATTAGCATATTTCTGCTCATGTAATAGGACTTCCCCTTTCTCTGCACAAACTCCTTCTGAACATTTCTGTCTCTTCTCCAGAGTTTCCTTAATATTCCAGGGGTGGTCTGAATGGGTGTAAACACACATCTGTGGAGCTAATGGAGTCCATTATCACCAGGGTGATGAGTCTGAACATTAAAAGTACTACCCAGGAGATGATAAGCCTCTTCAAAGGAAAGGTTACATCAGGGATGTGGCTGTGAAGGATTAAAATGTGGGGTTTACCCCATGATATTGTCCTTCAGTCCCCAAAGATCTAGCATGACAGAACCTTTAGAAATAAGAGTTTAGGCATTCAAAGAAAAGGATCAGGGGAAATGACCAAGGAATGAGGACACAGAAAATAGAAGAGTCATAGGAATGAATGATTTACAAAGCTTCATTCTCTGTAAAACTAGAAATTTGAAGACTGAAGGAAAACTTCACAGGAAGGATCCTTCCTATGAGGATCATGTCCTGATTTTGCCATTCACCATTGCTACTCCTCATGGTTTTTGGTACATTGGAGGGCTTCTTAAAAATTCAAATGGAAACTCATAGCAGGTTCATTGACATGGAAACTATCAGGACACTTGGGTTATAGGAGTGGGGGAACCCATTAATTTTGCAAGTGGAAAGAATGGCAACTGTTGCATACTATGTCATCAACATGGATACAAAATGGATAAGTTGGGAAAGCTCTTTTGTCTAGGTAAAGGTAAAGGTTTCCCCTGACATTAAGTCCAGCCGTGTCCGACTCTGGGGGTTGGTGCTCATCTTCATTTCTAAGCCGAAGAGCCGGCATTGTCCATAGACACCTCCAAGGTCATGTGGCCGGCATGACTGCATGAAGTGCCTAGTCCTTCATATTATGAATGTTCCTTAGCTATCAATCCACTGGGCCTTTGTGAAAGGTCCAAGCCATGGCCACTAAAGGCAGTGGTTACTTGTGGAAGACCATGGAGCATGGCTACACCTGCTTTCTCGGAATGAGGACGGGATGCTGTTGTTGACTTTGAAGTGACTCGCTGAATTCATCAGTCTAGAAGGCATCGAGAAGTTGTACCCATAGAAGCCATACGGAGGATGTAAAGCACAGTTCAGAGCTTCTTGGGCAACAGGACCTGACGACAAAATGTTCCCAGGTGTGTGTAAACCATACAACATATGGCTTGCAGTGCCGGGCCCTTGGGAACTTGGTCTGCTTAAGTCGTCCGCTTTGCCACTTTTGACGTTGGCTATGCTCAGAGAAGACAACGTGGGCACCTCCACCATGAAGTGTGGCAAAAGAGAAGGGCTGCTGGTGTTGCCCAGCTTGTGGTGGCTTGGGAACATCAGCGACTGTTGTCTCAAGAGGCTGGCTGGACAAATCTTGTAGCAGAGAGGCAAGCCAAAATGATGGAAGTAGGAGTCGGGGCAGGAGACGCCAAGGCTGGCTGCGGAGAGATGGAATGCCGGAGGAGAACAGGAAGAGGAAAGGAGAGCGCTGAGGGGAGATGGAGTGCCTCCAGTGGGTGTCACAGGGGAAGAGCCAGGGCTTCCACCTAGAAGAAAGGAAGGAAAATGTTGACATAACAAAAGACAATGCTGGAATGATGACTTTAGTGTGACAAAATGGAAAGAATGTGTATTTCACCTTTGATCAGCCCACACACTGCCTTGCTAGAGAAAGAAAATATGCCACACAGATGAACAGTAAATAATAAGCCGTTTACTCTTCGTAGCCCAGAATAACATATTTACAATCATGTAATCAGTGGCATCGACTCACATATTGTCGTTTTATGGGAGATTTAAAATAGTATTTCTTTGTCCTTGTGGAGAATCTCCCTGTAGCAGCTAATGAAGCAAGAGCACACTCCAAACTCTGTCTCTCTCCGTTTCTTTCTGCTTTTCTCAGTATGTCTCTGCTAGCACCTGCATAGCTCAAACCTGTAAAATGTAAGAGTATCCAAAAGTCCCAGGCTCAGCCATCTTCCCGGGCATGGCCCAACCAATCAGCTCCATGCATCTTATTTTACAGTTAACTGATTTCTTACATGCTCTAACATTTAGGATGCTCTGGATCACCCAAGATAAAGAACAGCTCTCTCTACAGTTGCTTCAGTTGTGCTTTTCCTACATGTCATGGGGATGGCCCTTGTGGTCTCTTCCAACTCAATGATTCTAGGTGTGTATAAACTGTAAAAGGACTGCACTTATTTTAAAAAAAACAACCCTTTCCATCTAAGCCAGGCATTGGCTTTCCTCAATGAGAGGGGCCACAAAGACTTTGGTTGACAATGAAGGACTCCTCCATGCAATCCCCATGCAAATTGTGGCATCCAAATAAATATTTTCTTCACTACTGTTCTTTCTATGTCTTTTATTAGGATCAAGGGTCTTTTATGTCATTTTCACAATGGCAAAAGAGTGAGGTCAGTTATGTTAAAGCAGTAGTTCTCAACCCCTTAACACAGTTCCTCGTGTTGTGGTGACCCCCCAACCATAACATTATTTTTGTTGCTACTTCATAACTGTAATTTTGCTACTGATATGAATCGTAAATATGATATGATATGTAGGATGCATTTTCATTCACTGAACCACATTTGGCACAAATACCCAATACGCCCAAATTTAAATACTGGGGTTGAGGGATTGATTTTGTCATTTGGGAGTTGTAGTTGCTGGGATTTATAGTTCACCTACAATCAAGGAGGATTCTGAACTCCTCCGATGATGGAATTGGACCAAACTTGGCAAACTGAACTGAAAATACTTGAAGGGTTTGGTGGGCACTGACCTTGAGTTTTGGAGTTGTAGTTCACCTACATTCAGAGAGCACTGTGGACTCAAACAATGATGGATCTGGACCAAGCTTGGCATGAATACTCAATATGCCCAAATGTGAACGCCGGTGGAGTTTGGGGAAAATAGACCTTGACATTTGGGAGTTGTAGTTTCTGGGATTTATAGTTCACCTACAATTAAAGAGCATTCTGAACCTCACCAACAATAGAATTGGGACAAACTTCTCATACAGAACCCCCATGACCAACAGAAAATACTGCATTTTATGATGGTCTTTGACAACCCCTCTGACATCCCCTCACAACCCAGCCAGGGGTCCCAAACGGTGTGCTAAATGAGCATGAGGGTTCCAAGATCATCTAAGAGTTTCATAACTGGGTGAGGAACAGAACCTGGATATCCTATGTCCTGGCCCAGCATGCTAACCATTATGGAGAACTGAATTATACTCTTGCTTCTGCTAACCCTATTGATCTTCAGTTCCGCAGTTCAAGAGATATGCACTTCAAGAATGTTCTAGTCATATGTTTTTGGGCCCTTGATTATATCACAAGAGGGTTGGGCAAACTGTAGCATGCAAAACTGGACCCCATATTTGTGTCTCCTGAACCTCTATATTGGTCTTCCTGAAGTTCCCACTCCTTTTGTAAAATGGTCTGTTTCCTGGGCAATATTTGCCGTAAACTATACGTGAAAATACACAAAAAATCCTTCACCCACCCAAAATTACTACAGGTCCTTGTCCTTCTTTTTTGTCTGCATTCCCTCTCAAAATGACAGAAGGAAGAGATGCAATGTCACTTCCTATTTACATTTTGAGAAGAACTGCAGAAAAAGAAGAGAAAATGAATGGAGGAGAAAGAAACCTGGATATTTTAAGAACAGATGAAAAACATAGGATTCATTTGGATAATCCTGGCCAAGTCATGCATTTGTCAACGTGGGAATCTTCTATGGCAATTCTGTGTTGAAAACGAATGCTCTAATTGTTCCCTGGATTATTTTTCAAACATCTTTCACATGGAGCAGAGGAACTGCACGTTATGAAATAGGTAAATGACTGTCTTGAAGTAGTATGAAAACAATTAGCCTAATTGCACCGGGTTTCTGACATGGCAGAAATGGTGAAACTATTGACATTTCCATACAGATTCAGGAGAGGCAGCCAAACATTAAAATATGTTCTTTGACCTCCCCAACTGCATCTGTAAAAGCCATTCATATGGCATTCACACAAGCTCTGGAGAGGAATGAATGTGTCTTGCAATCACGCGTGCTTAATCGTCTCCTCCATAATATAAACCATGATATTTATCTAGGCTGCAAGCCTTGAGCAATTTAATTGATACATTAACGAGCTAAAGCTTTAGCCGAGCCAAAGCTCTGATTAATCAGGACAGCTGGGAACAAGTTTAAGATGGAGGATTCCCAAAGGGAAGACTGCCGTGGCCTCCTTCAATGGACTGGCTCTAATGAATAAAAAACTTGAACATGTTGCTTTTCTCCATTTGCTCAGCAGACAGAATGATGTTATGATTATTTATTTATTTATCGTGACAGAAGCAAATTGAGGGTTGTAATACAGTTGCAATGTATTTAAAAACTCAAACAAAGTTAAAAACTTGGCATTATACTAAATGCATTTGGAATGCCTCTGGTGTTCTTGTGCATGTGGCAGGGCTCAAGTTACATTATAGTCAGTGGTCAGTGGTTTGCTCTTCTCCACATGTCGTGGGACTTCGATTTGTAGCCCCATTTCTTAAGGTTGGCTCCACATCTCGTGGTGCCAGAGCGCAGTTTGTTCAGTGCCTTCCAAGTCGCCCAATCTTCTCTGTCGCCCAGGACGGAGTCTCTCATTCTGTCTCAGCCACTGATTGAGGTTCCGGATTTTAACCTGCCAGTTTTGGGCTCTCGCTTGCTGAGATGTTCCTGTGAGTATCTCTGTAGATCTTAAAAAGCAATTTCATGATTTAAGGTGTTGGCATGCTGGTTGATATCTAGACAGAGGATGGGTCAGAGATGTCACTGCCTTGGTCTTTTCATTACAGGCTGCTACTTCCTGGCAGATGTCAGGTGGTGCAATACCAGCTAACAGTATAATTTCTCCAGTGGTGTAGGTCGTAGACATCCTGTGATAATGCAACATATCTCATTAAGAGCCACATCCATGTTTAATGTGATGAGATGTGTTCCACACTGGACATGCATATTCAGTAGCAGAGTAGCAAAGCACAAGGGCAGATGTCTTCACTGTGTCTGGTTGTGATATCCAGGTTGTGCCATTCAGCTTACGTATGATTATTTCTAGCACCCACATTTTGCTTGATTGTCAAGCAGTGCTCCTTAAAAGTCAGAGCATGGTCCAGAGCAACTCCCAGATATGTTGGTGTGCTGCAATGTTCCAGTAGGATTCCTTTCCAGGTAATTCTCTGAGCTTGAGATGTGTGTCTGTTCTTAAAATGAAAACCACACATCTGAATTTAGATGGATTAGGGATCAGTTGGTTTTCCCTGTAATAGGCAGTAAGAGCACCTAAAGCTTCATAGAGCTTCTGTTTAACAATTCCAAAGCTCCTTGCTTGAGTGGTGATGACATGATTGTTAGCATAGCTTAAACTCACTGCCCCTTCTGGCAGTGGCTGGTCATTTGTGTAAATGTTAAACATTGATGGAGCAAGCATGCTCTCCTGAGGCAGGCCTTCTGTTTTCGCTATCTGTTTCTCTGGCCCTGGAACTCAACAAAAAAGCTCCTGTTTTGTAGTAGATTTCTTATGAAGCAGGCGAGGTGGTAGTCCTTTGTGATATAATAAAAATTTTCTCAGGATACGGCAATGACTTACAGTGTCATAAGCTGCCAACAGATCTATGATGATTTTCCTTCTTAGACAAAGCAACCTGTCAAGATCTGCAAGAGAAAACTTCCCTCCCTCTTCCTTCCTTCCTTCCTTCCTTCCTTCCTTCCTTCCTTCCTTCCTTCCTTCCTTTCTTCAAAGCTGGCATGCACATTGGAAAGACCTTTCTCAATGGCTGCTCCAGTTGGAGGATTCTACTGGAGGATTTGGGGTTCAAAGATCTATCTATCTATTTTTATTTGGTGCTTGAATTGTGTGGCCAAAGGATATTTGGAAGGTGATGTGCTGTACTTTTCCATCTTTCAATGGTGTTTCAAATGTGTTTTAAACTTAAGAGTGGAAACAGGGAAGCATGGATAATAGTGAACTCTATTGAATGAATGACTTCTGTTGGAAGTTACCATTGAGAAATAGAAGCCAGGTGTACTGAAAACACTTCCACTTGCTGGAAAAATATATAAAATAAATTTGACAGTTGTTGATAGGAATAGTTTCTTTCTTTTTTAAAAGTACAGATTGAGCTCAGTTATAGGAGCCATGTATAAATATGTGAGAGGAAGCCACAGGGAGGAGGGAGCAAGCTTGTTTTCTGCTTCCCTGGAGACTAGGACACGGAACAATGGCTTCAAACTACAAGAGAGGAGATTCTATCTGAATATGAGGAAGAACTTCCTGACTGTGAGAGAGAGCTGTTCAGCAGTGGAACTCTCTGCCCTGGAGTGTGTTGGAGGCTTCTTCTTTGAAAGCTTTTAAACAGAGGCTGGATGGCCCTCTGTCAGGGGTGATTTGAATGCAATATTCCCGCTTCTAGGCAGCGGATTGGACTGGATGGCCCATGAGGTCTCTTCCAACTCTAGGATTCTATGATTCTAGGACGAGGTTATGGTAAACATATTGATTGTTAAAGTTCAGCAACACCATCTTGGAAAGTATTGCAAGATCAGTACTTACCTTGACTATCTGCACCGAAGGACTTAAAATCCAGAGTAAGTGATGGTCTCCATGGATATGATTCCAGAAGTCCATCCAAGACTCCTCTACAAAGTGAAACCCAGACATTAGTTGAAGGTTTACATGCCATGAAGTCTTGACATTAAGACATGGTTCCAGGACAGAAGTCTCGATCCTCGAGTGAATCTACACCCGGTGGTTCCCAACCTTTTTTTGACCAGGGACCACTCTCCAACATTAGTACTAAAAGGGTTACAATTCAGTTTTTGGTCAACTTTAGATTTGGCTTTGATTTTTTGGGGTGTTGATTCAGAAATTGCATTGGATAGACCATATCAGCTCTAGTTTCTGATACAGAACATATGCCATGCAGATCCAGTAGTCACCATCTGTTTGCCCACAGAAAACCATATTTAATAATCTAGAGCTGATGTGGTAGTAGTGATCTTTTGTGGGTAGTCAGCCTCTCCCCTCCTGCCTTCCCCTTTGCCTCAGCACTATAAGAAGGTTTTGCGAGACTGGTTGCTCATGTTGCCATGTGGTTTTGAGGCAACAGTGTAGTAATGGTGAGGCTGTGGACCATATTTTCGTTCTTGCGGATCACTGATGGTCCACAGACCACAGGTTGGGAACCACTAATCTACACTGTAGATTTGGTGCAGATTGAGATGCTTTCACTGTCATGACTCAATACTTTGGAACCCTAGGAGTTGAAGTTTGGTGAGGCATTAGCAAGCTTAATAATAATAATAATAATAATAATAATCATTATTGTAATAATAATAATAGCCAAGAACCTGATTTAATTGAGGTCAATAATCGGAAACTTCTCAAAGCACAGCAAAGAGTCAGTACAAGAAAACTGCACTCCAAACCAGAGCTGACAGCTGGCACAACAAAGCCTTGCATGGGCAGTTCCTTGACAAAATTGAAGGAAAAGTTGACAAGGAGAAGACCTGGTGATGGCTCACGAATGGAACCCTGAAGAAGGAGACAGAAGAAGGTCTGATTCTTGCAGCCCAGGAGCAAGCCATCAGAATAAATGCCATTAAGGCCAGGATCGAAAAATCAATGGATGACCCAAAATGCAGACTATGCAAGGAAGCTGATGAAACCATGGACCATCTCCTCAGCTACTGGGGTAGAAAATTGCACAGACGGACTACAAACAAAGACACAACTCTGTGGCCCAAATGATTCTCTGGAACTTATGTCACAAGTACCACCTACCAGCAGCCAAGAATTGGTGGGATCATAAACCTGCAAAGATCGTGGAAAATGAACATGTAAAAATACTGTGGGACTTTTGAATCCAGACTGACAAAGTTTTGGAACACAACACGCCAGACATCACAATTGTGGAAAAGAAAAAAGTCCGGATTATTGATGTCGCCATACCAGGTGACAGTCGCATGGAGGAAAAACAACAGGAAAAACTCAGACGCTATCAAGACCTCAAAATTGAACTGCAAAGGCTCTGGCAGCAACCAGTACAGGTGGCCCCAGTGGTCATTGACACACTGGGTGCCATGCCAAAAGATATCAGCCGGCATTTGGAAACAATAAACATCGACAAAATCACAATCTGTAAACTGCAAAAGGCCACCTGACTTGGATCTGTGCGCATCATTCGAAAATACATCACACAGTCCTAGACACTTGGGAAGTGTTCGACTTGTGATTTTGTGATACAAAATCCAGCATATAGATCTCGTTTGCTGTGACATACTGTGCTTTTGTGTCAATAATAAATAAATAAATAAACAAACTTTATTATACCCCGCCACCATCTCCCCAATGAGGACTCGGGGTGGCTTACATGAGGCCAAGCCCAACAACACAATACAATAAATGAAATCAAAACGCAAACAACAATAATAAATTACCTAAAACATAAGACTACAGCAAACAATATAAAATTACAATAAAATCATTCATAACACAGTAACAGTGAGCGGGCTGCATGTACAGAACAAAATACTAAAGCTAAAAACACGGGGTGAGATAGCGATGGAGCAGATTATTTGTGAGGGAGAAACTGTTCAGGAATGGGGTCGAGAAGGGCCTTTGTACAGGAGAAGGGGAGGTGTACTATAAGGACAAATGTTGAGGGATAACAGCAGTATAAGGTTGCATGGTTAATCTCCAAAAGTGCAACAGAAGAGCCAGGTTTTGAGAGTCTTCTTAAAAGTTTCTAAAGTGGGGGCTCACCTAATCTCACGAGGCAATGTATTCCATAGTCGGGGAGCCACTGAGAAGAAAGCTCTCTCCCTTATTCCCAAAAGGCGGGCCTGAGATAACAGCAGGGGTGAAAGGAGAGCAGGTTCATGGAGGGAGATACGGGTCATCAAGGTAGGCAGGCCCCAAACCATTTAGGGCTTTATAGGGGATGACCTGTGCCTTGAATTGGAACCGGAAAATAAATGGCAGCCAATGGAGCTCCTTAAACAGGGGGTTGTCCGCTCCCTCTAATTTGCTTTGGCAAAAAAGGCAAAAATCCTTTTAAAACTACAACTCCCAGGATTCCATAGCATTGAGAGATGACAGCAAAAGTTGTGTTGAGCAGCATTATTTCTACAATAGTTCAGGCAATAATTTATTTTTCAACACAGGCACTTACACTGCATTTTAAACAGAAATGCGTTATTGAAGCTGTTGCAAAATGTAAACGCAATATCTAAACAAAAAGAAGTTGGTTCTTCCTTCTGAAGTATTGTATTTGCTTGTACGCTAACATAATTGATCAGTGGTAGACCAAAAGGAATCTACCTAAACAGTAAATATGTGTTTAAGCAGTCAACAACCAAATGGATAAAATAGAAATCCTTACCTGTTTCTTCCAGGGTCTCTGAATCCTTTTGCAAAGGGATTCCGGTCTATCTTGAGTTTTGTTATCTATGAAAAGTTTGCAATCAAAGGAAAAAGGGAAAAAATATTGTGATCATGGCAAGCTAGAATTTATGGGGGAAATATTGTATACAACAACAACAACACATTCTATGTGGGCTTGCCTTTGAAGACGGTTTGGAAGCTTCAAATAGTCCAATGAGAGGCAGCTAGGCTAAAAACTAGGGTGGCATACAGGGAGCACACAACTCCCATGTTACGTCTGCTCTACTGGCTGCTTGTTTGCTACCAGACATAATTCAAAGTTGGCCTATAGAGCCCTAAACAGCCACGGCCCAGTTTACCTGTCTAAACACATTTCCCTTTATGAACCACAGCAAAGACTAAGATCTTCTGTGGAGGTCCTGCTCTTGGTCCCGCCACCAATGTGGACACATTTGGTGGGGATGAGAGATAAGGCCTTCTCAGTGATAGCCCCCCGGCTATGGAAGTCCCTTCCTGATGAGATTAGATCAGCCCTCTCCCTCCTGCCCCCGGCTTACATATCCGAACGTATCTCTCCTTATGAACCATCTAGGACTTTAAGATCGTCTGGGGAGGCCCTGCTCTTGATCCCGCCTTTCTCGCAGATGCATTTGGCGGGGATGAGAGACAGGGCCTTCTCAGTGGTGGCCCTGGGCTATGGAATGCCCTCCCCATGGATATAAGATCAGCTCCCTCCCTTCTAACATTCTGCAAAATGGTTAAGACCTGGCTCTTCAAGCAAGCTTTTTCTACTGGAGCATAATTAGCCGTAAATGAATATATGGAGTGACTGGCGATGCAACTAGACAACGATTTTAGTAAGGAGATGCTGAGGATCTTGTTTTTATAGATATATTTGCTATTTATATTACATTTTAAATGCTGAATTGTTTTTATAATTGTTTTAACTGTATTTTAATATTTGTTATGGCATCGAATCGCTGCTGATTGTGAACTGCCTTGAGTCGCCTCTGGCTGAGAAAGGCTGTATACAAATGAGGTAAATAAATAAATAAAAATAGCAAAAAAACTGGTTATGGGACAAAGCCTTTGGAATAGTGCAATAAGGCAATAATAGGAAACCCACTCTGTTGACCAGAGCCGGCATGGTGATTTGAGATGGTTTTAAACAATTGATTTTAAAGTACATATAACTGATTTTAGTGTTTGTGTATTTTTATAGTTATTTTATGTCCCGGCATGGAATGCTTGCCATATATATGTTGTGCTCCACCCTGAGTCCCCTTTGGGGTGAGAAGGGCAGAATATAAATATTTCAAATAAATAAATAATAAATAAAAGCAAATATTGCAAAACCAAACTCCATCCATGCACAATATAAGGGATTTACCTGCTGGTTTTGGTAGGCAGTGACTGTGGTGAATTCTGTTTCCTTAAATGAAAAGGTCTGAACCCCTGTGGCTGGCAAAGACTGGATCTGGGAGAGATCGAATCGAGAGTCCTGGACAATCACGTGGACCCGGGGCTTGTATTTATGCATAGATTGCAGAATTATCTGTAAAGCAAAAACAAACAAACAAACAAACAAAAACATTGCATCCACAACTTTACAAAACCCCACCAAAAACAGAATATAATGTCACTTGGTTTAGGGAGCAAAGAGTTTCCTATTTAATGCCATTTTAAATAGTTAAGAGCTATCTTAGAAACCTGGCTAATTGGGGTTTCCATGTCAATGGGTTGATGAATCCGTTCCTAGTTTTAGTTCAGCCTTCCAAGAAGGTATCCTATCTAAGAAAATGGACCAAATAAGTCCAGCACCTTGGATAGCTCCTTTGAAAAGGAGAGCTAAAGCCAGAGTGACTTCAATGCTGTCCTGACATAAAAGCTATGAGCCATCACTCTCTTTTTTGAGACAGCCCAAGCTAGAGAACATAGTCATAGTCCTCTTAATCTATGAACAAATCCAAGGGGAATGGTAATGGGACCTTTTTTTTGCCATAGCAATATAAGAACATACTCTCCTTGCTCCAAGAAAGGTTTAAAGAATTCAAGATGGGCCACACAACAATGGCAAAATGTGGCCCACCAATTGCATATCTTGTAGCCACCCCTCCATATCCATGGGTTCTGTATCCACCAACCACAGCTTGAAAATACTTGGAAAAATAACCCCCAAAGCACACATCTGAGAACTACATTGATGTGTAGGTACGCCAATATCCTCCTGCCATTTCATACATCCTCAGGATCCCTCCAACATATATTACCTGCCGTGAGCCACAAGGAGACATGGGTAACATATGTATTATTATTATTATTATTATTATTATTATTATTATTATTATTATGGATGCCATTTTACTACACTATTATATCTAATGTGAATTGAGCATCCAAAGATTTTGGTATCCATGGGAGTAGGGGAAGAACTTGGAACTAAATATCAGAAAGAGTAAAAAAAACTTTTTGCAACTTTATTTATTGTGTCAAACAATTTTATTGCATTTCTAACAGAACAAAACAAACAGACAAAACACAAAATTTGCAAGCTTTGTAGTTGATTAAATGTCCTTTTATCAATATCTGGCCACTTGGAGTGCCTCTGGTGCTTTGCAAAAGAGAGATATTTATATCTATGTCTCTATATCTCCATCTCCCCCCTCCCTCCCTATTGTATATAGCCACCATATACACCCATGACCTTGGAACCTCCAAACCAATTTAGGACCGGAAGAGATCCCCTTTAAACACCCTGGGAGGGTATTTGGGGGCAAAGGTTGTTGTTCTTTTACCCAGTGATCTTGAGGAGGGGGAGATAATGTAGCCTCCTCACCATCCATAGCAACCCACCCTGGTCTAACGGTAGGGCCAACCCATTTGAGAAATGCACCCCTCAAATGCACACATACATGCCCTTTGTCATCCATCTCATTGTTGGTCAGCTTAACCCTGTCGAAGCTGATAATCTGCCTCATCCAGGTCTCTCCGGAGCAGGGGGAGTCTGGGTGGATGTATAGGCGAGGTGTGATGCAGGAGTGGTCAGTGTTCCCAGCCACCATCCACTGGGAGCTGTGGTAGACATACCTTCAAACCCAAACAAAAGCAGGGAAGTCAACAATAAGAAGGGAAGACAGGGCAGGAGAGGGATGGAGCATCGTAACATCTACACTGTAGAATGAATGCAGTTTGACACCACCTTAACTGACACAACCTAATGGGCTTTGTTGCTTGATGAGGAACCAATACCTTTTGGCAGAGAAGGCTATGGACCTTGTAAAACTACAACCCCCATGATTCCATAGTATTGAGCCACGGCAGTTCAAGGAATGCCCAACTGTTTTAAGTCTACAATACACCCATCATGACAGACTTATTGTAACATGAGCTTCCATCGATTTCAGTCCATGCATTTATTGCTGTCGTTATTAATATATTTTTCCATTGAGTCAACACTGACATAGGTCAACTGTATTTCTTCAGTTCTAAGATGCACCCCCCCCCCCCATATAAAAACTGGGTGCATCTTAGATGCACAGGCATATTTTACGGATTTTTGTTGGTGACGGAAGTACGGAAATTAAGGCACCCCTTACTATCAATGGTGTCTTACAATGCAAGAAATACGATATTTATTTATTATTTGCATCCTGCTTTTCCCTCTAAAAAAGAGACTCAATTCAACTATAAGAATGAAAGGTTCTCCTCCACCCGAGGCAAAATAAGGTTAATAATAATAGTAATAACAACAACAGTACTAATTTGCAAGGAAGCAAATGAAACAATAGATCACATCCTCAGCTGCTGCAAGAAGATTGTGCAGACAGACTACAAGCAGAGGCATAACACCGTTGCTAAGATGATTCATTGGAACTTGTGCTACAAACACCATCTGCTTGCGACAAAGAACTGGTGGAATCACAAGCCGGAAAAAGTTACAGAGAATGAACACGTCACGCTACTGTAGGACTTCCGAATTGAGCTCCAAAACTCTGTCAGTCTGAATTCGGAAGTCCCAAATTTTTATTATTATTATTATTATTATTATTATTATTATTATTATTATTATTATTGGGTTGCTGTAAGTTTTCCAGGATGTATGGTCATGTTCCAGAAACATTCTCTCCTGACATTTTGCCCACATCTATGGTAGGCATCCTCAAAGGTTGTGAGGTCTATTGGAAAGTCTCACAACCTCTGAGGATGCCTGCCATAGATTTTGATGAAACGTCAGGAGAGAATGCTTCTGGAACATGACCATACATCCTGGAAAACTTACAGCAACCCAATAATAATAATAATAATAATAATAATAATAATAATAATAATAATAATAAATTAATTAATTAATTTGGGACTTCCAAATTCAGACTGACAGAGTTTTGGAGCTCAATACTTCTGACCTTGCGATTGAGTTAAAAAACAAAGTATGGATTGTCGATGTTGCAATCCAGGTGACAGCAGGATTGAAGAGAAACAACTGGAAAAGCTGGCATGATATGATGATTTAAAGATCGAACTGCAAGCCAGTCAAGGTGGTCCCAGTGGTTATCGGCACACTGGGTGCAGTACTTAAAGACCTTGGCCTGCACTTAAACACAATCGGTGTTGACAAAATTACCAGCTGCCAGCTGCAGAAGGCCACCTTACTGGGATCTGCACGCATTATTCACCGATACATCACATAGTCGTAGACACTTAGGAAATGTCCAACATGTGATCCAATACAACAGCCAGCAGAGTGACCTTGTCTGCTGTGGACTCTGCTTGTTGTGTTTCTAATTATTATTATTATTATTATTTATTATTTATTATCTGACAGCAGCAAAAGGCCACCTTACTGGGATCTGAATGCATTATTCGCCAGCAGAGTGTCTGCTGTGGACTCATCTTGTTGTGTTTATAATAATAATAATAATAATAATAATAATAATAATAATAATAGGTCTAATTCTAGGTTCTTGTGGGTTTTTTCGGGCTATAGGGCCATGTTCTAGAGGCATTTCTCCTGACGTTTCGCCTGCATCTATGGCAAGCATCCTCAGAGGTAGTGAGGTCTGTTGGAATTAGGACAATGGGTTTATATATCTGTGGAATGGCTGGGGTGGGGCAAAGAGCTCTTCTTTGCTGGAGCTAGGTGTGAATGTTTCAACTGACCACCTTCATTAGCATTTGAAGGCCTGGCTGAGCCTGGGAAATTTTTTGTTGAGAGTTGTTAAGATGTGCCTGTTTCCTCTCTGCTGTTTTGCTGTTGTAATTTTAGAGTTTTTTTAATACTGGTAGCCAGATTTTGTTCATTTTCATGGTCTCTTCCTTTCTGTTGAAATTGTCCACATGCTTGTGGATTTCAATGGCTTCAAATGCTAATGAAGGTGGTCAGTTGAAACATTCACACCTAGCTCCAGCAGAGAGCTCCTTGCCCCACCCCAGCCATTCCACAGATATATAAACCCATTGTCCTAATTCCAACAGACCTCACTACCTCTGAGGATGCTTGCCATAGATGCAGGCGAAACGTCAGGAGAAATGCCTCTAGAACATGGCCCTATAGCCCGAAAAAACCCACAAGAACCTAGTGATTCCAGCCATGAAAGCCTTCGACAATACAGGTCTAATTCTGATTCATATCAGTGGGAACACAATAGAATGAATGCCACTTCAACTGCCACGGGAAGGTGTAATTTACGAAGGCATTAGACTTATTTGGCAGAGAAAGCTAAAGACCTTGTAAAGCTACAGCTTCCATGATTCCATAGCACTGAGCCTTGGAAGTTAAAGTAGTATCAAACTGCATTCATTCTACAGTATAGATGCACTCCTGGGGAAAAGGACAGCATAAAAATGAATGCTTTTCTTTTACCTGTATCTTTTGGAGTCAACGGGCACTATGTCGATAGCAATGTAGTATTGTTTCACTGGATCCAGACCTTTCACTTTGACCCGAACAGAAGGAAACATCCTCCTATGGAAAGGAGAAGGAAAAGAGGGGCTAGACGTCACCTGTGCACACATGCAACAGTGTTCTAGTGTTCTCTGAAAGGGGCACACAATGCTATGGAATCGCAGGAGTTGTCATTCTGCAAGGCTTTTGGCCTTCCCTGCACAAAGGTGCCTCACCAAACTACAAATCCCAGCATTGAGAATTGGTAGTGAAAGGAGTGTCGAGCTGTATTGATTCTATAGTACAGATACCCCCTTCGTTCACTTCAAAGGACAACAGAGGCAGAGTTTCAATCCTTTTCCTTCCATACCAAAGAAAGTCTCAAAATAGGGATATTATGTAAGTTGCTGTGAGTTTTCGATGGATGAGACTGTTTTATTGTTTTAACAATTGTTTTATTGCTTGTGGATGTGCTGTTTTTAACTTGATTTATGTCTAATTGTAGTGTATAATTGTAACTGTTTGTACTGGCATTCAATTTTGCCATTACTTATATGTTTTGTTTTGTTTTGTTTTGTTTTGTTTTTTTGTCGTGTCAGAAGTCGCTTCTGGTGTGAGAGAATTGGCTGTCTGCAAGGACATTGCCCAGGGGACACCTGGGTGATTTTGATGTTTTGTGGGAGGCTTCTCTCATGTCCCCGCATGGGGAGCTGGAGCTGATAGAGCGAGCTCATCCACCTCTCCCCGGATTCGAACCTGCGACCTGTCGGTCTTCAGTCCTGCCGGCACAGGGGTTTAACCTACTGCGCCACCGGGGGCTCATATTTATATGTAAACCGCTTTAAGTCCCCCTCTGGGTGAGAAAAGCGGTATACAAATACTGTAAATAAAATAATAATAATTTTACGGGCTGTATAGCCATGTTCCAGCAGCACTCTCTCCTGACATTTTTCCTAGATCTATGACTGGCTTACTCAGAGGTTGTGACGTCTTTTGGAAACTAGGCAAGTAGGGTTTATATATTTGTGGAATGATTCCAGGGTGGGAGAAAGAGCTCTTGTCTGCTTGAAGTAAGTGGGAATGTTGCAATTGGCCACCTTGATTAGCACTGAATGGCCTTGCAGCTTCAAAGCCTGGCTGCTTCCTGCCTAGGAGAATCCTTTGTTAAGGCGTTACCTTGCTCTGATGGTTTCCTGTCTGGAATTCCCTGATTTCTGAGTGTTGTTCTTTTTTTAATGTCCTGATTTTAGAGGTTTTTTTAAATAATGGTAGCCAGATTTTGTTCATTTTCATAGTTTCCTCCTTTCTGTTGAAATTGTCCACATGCAGCGCCCAAACACGAATCAAGGGACATGAAAGACACTGCAGACTAATTCAACCTGAGAAGTCAGCCATAGCAGAGCACTTGATGAACCAACTTGGACACAACATATTATTTGAGAACACAGGAATGTTGGACCACTCTCACAACCATGTCAAGCTACACAGAGAAGCCAATGAAATCCACAAGTAGGTGGACAATGTCAACAGAAAGGAGAAAACATGAAAATGAACAAAATCTAGTGACCAGTATTTTAAAACTCTAAAATCTGAGCAATAAATAAAGAGGAATATGCAGAAAACAGGGGAATTCCAGACAGGAATTAAATAAAGGATGCCCCAGGCAGGCATGTAGCCGGGGTGGGGTGGGGGCTTGAGGGGCTTCACCCCCCCCCCCAAAATTCTCATGGCGGTCCAGAAAATTTTTTAGCCCCCCCCCCCCCCGAAATGAAATCCTGGCTATGGGCCTGCTCCAGGCAGGAAGCAGCCAGTCTTTGAAGTTGCAAGGCCATTCAAGGCTAATCAAGCTGGTCAATTGCAGCATTCGCGCTTGCCTCAAACAGACAAGAGTTCTTTCTCCCACTCTGGACATCATTCCACAGATATATAAACCCCACTTTCCTAGTTTCCAACAGACCTCACTACCTCTGAGGATGCCTGCCATAGATATGGGTGAAATGTCAGGAGCGAATGCTTCTGGAACATGACCAGATGGTCTGGAAAACTCACAGCAACCCAGTGATTCCAGCGATGGAAGCCTTTGACAACACAGGGATATTATGCATTGCTGGAAAAGGAAATAGAGGCCCACCATAGACCTGTTGTAGCATCTCCCTACCCACAATATTATAGTTGCTTTTTAAATGTATTTTGGAGTACTGATTTTTTTTAAAAAATATCCAATTCTTCTTATTATTATTATTACTATTATTATTGTTATTGTTGTTGTTATTTAATATCATATGTATTTATATCCCGCATTTTTCTCTCTCAGGAGAGACTCGAAGCGTCCTACTGTAAACACAGATCTCTCCAAAATTGCATTCCTCATTTCAGGTCTCTTTTCATCCAGTTTGGCAACACTACAAATCCCAGGACAATAAAGTATTGCAGTTCATTGGTGTCCAAAGACAGCCTGAGTTTTGTGGTGTTCTTTTACAATCTCTCTTTCAGTTTAGAGGGATTTAAGCACTAATAGAAAGAAGGGGAAAACACTAGCCCTGCAATAACTATATGTTCTTCTTTCCAAAAGCCAAGCCGTGTAGAATTAATGCAGTTTGCCTACTACATTCATTCCACAATGTGTAGATGTGTCCTAGGTAAAGGTTGTCCCCTGACATTAAGTCCAGTCATGTCTGACTCTGGGAGTTGGTGCTCATCTCCATTTCTAAGCCGAAGAGCCGGCTTTGTCCGTAGACACCTCCAAGGTCACGTGGCCGGCATGACTGCATGGAGCATTGTTATGCCGTGTCCTATGTATCCTAAATGTCTTATCCTGGACTGCCAGACCCAAGATGGAAACCAGTTCAATGGAATCATAATGTTCTAATTCAGTGTTTCTCAAACTTCCTAATGCTGCGACCCCTTAATACATTTCCTCATGTTGTGGTGACCCCCAACCATACAATTATTTTGCTACTTCATAACTGTAATTTTGCTCCTGTTATTAATTGCAATGTATTATCTGTTAAGCAGGATGTATTTCCATTGACTGGACCAAATTTGGCACAAATTTGGCACCCGATATGCCCAAATTTGAATAGTGGTAGGGTTGGGAGATTGATTGATTGATTGATTTTGTCATTTGGGAGTTGTAGTTGCTGGAATTTATAGTTCACCTACAATCAAAGAGCATTCTGAACTCCAGCAACGATGGAATTGAACCAAACTTGGCACACAGAACTTCTATGGCCAACAGAAAACACTGGAAGGTTTGGTGGGCATTGACCTTGAGTTTTGGAGTTGTAGTTCACCTACATCCAGAGAGCACTGTGGACTCAAACAATGATGGATCTGGACCAAACTTGGAATGAATACTCAATATGCCCAAATGTGAACACTGGTGGAGTTTGGGGAAATATACCTTGACATTTGGGAGTTGTAGTTGCTGGGATTTATAGTTCACCTACACTCAAAGAGCATTCTGAACCCCACCGACAATCGAATTGGACCAAACTTCCCACACAGAACCCCCATGACCAACAGAAAATACTGTGTTTTCTGATGGTCTTTGGCGACCCCTCTGATACTCCCTGGTGACCCCCGAAGGGGTCCTGACCCCCAGGTTGAGAACCACTATTCTAATTGTATATAGTGTGGATGCTATCCAGGTTGTCATGGATGTCATCACCTGAAGTTGCCCAGCAGATGCAGGCTGGATCTCCACTGCCACACAATGCAATTTGAACTGCATTGTGGCTGAATCTACACTGCTAAATAATAGAATAGAATAACCTTATTGTCACTGTACTATTTCACAAAATAATAATCATCACCATCATCTTTATTTATACCCCGCCACCATCTCCCCAATGGGGGCTCGGGGTGGCTTACATGAGGCCAAGCCCAAACAACAAATTAAATGCCTTTCCCAGCACACACCACAAAACAACACACACACACACCCATCCCTCCATGCTCCCATCACCACCGCACAGCCCCCAATGCCACATCAATGCGAAACCATGGAGTTCAACATAACCACAACTCTAAGCTAAAAGTTACCTCCCCGTCCTTGTCTTTGTCACCCTGTACCATCTGCCAGATGTCAATAATTCAAAAGAATATGCTGGGTGAACTGCATTGCATGATCTACGCACTCACCATGTAATGCAGTCCTCAAATTAAAGAGACTATATACATTCATAACAACAACAACAACAACTAAACAAACAAACAACTTTCTTATTAGAGCTGAGTGATTGTTTTGTTTTTACAGTATTTCCACATACATATGAGTCTACATTGCCATATAATCCAGTTCAAAGCAGATAATCTGAGTTTTATATGGTAGAGTCGAAGGGGCCTAAAAAAACCCTAAAAAACCCTAAAAAAAACTATAAAATTACCCCAAATCTCACAACCTCTGAGGATGCCTGCCATAGATGCGGGAGAGAATGCTTCTGGAACATGGCCATACAGTCCAAAAAACTTATAGTAACCCCATTATCCCAAACCAATGTAAACCAATAGCTTGGAGCCTAAATACACCATTTCCCATCTGAGGCACCTTTTACACTGACATATACAATCTAGTAATATAATATAATAATATAATATAATATAATATAATATAATATAATATAATATAATATAATATTAATTATATTAATTATATTAATATTATATTATATTATATTATATTATATTATATTATATTATATTATATTATATTATATAATATTATTAGTAAAGCACAGGAGACAAGATGGAACTGTCTTCTGCCTCCCTCTCTCTTCACTCTGGATAATGTGGATTATCCCCTAAAATAATCTAGATTATGTGGCAGTGTAGAAGGGGCCTCAGGAGGAAATTGTGTATTTAGGTAATGAAATGGATTATATGAGTCTACACTGCCATATGCAATCCAGGTGACCTTTTTTGAACTGGATTATATGGCAGTGTGAACTCATATAATCCGGTTCAAAGCAGATAATGTGGATTATCCATTTAGATAATATGTACTATGTGGCAGTTATATTATTATTATTATTATTATTATTATTATTATTATTATTAGTTATATTATATTATTAGTAAAGCACAGGAAACAAAATGGAACTGTCTTCTGCCTCCCTCTCTCTTCACTCTGGATAATGTGGATTATCCACTTAGGTAATATGGACTATGTGGCAGTTATATTATTATTATTATTATTATTATTATTATTATTATTATTATTATATTATATTATTATATTATATTATTATTATTATTAGTTATATTATATTATTAGTAAAGCACAGGAAACAAAATGGAACTGTCTTCTGCCTCCCTCTCTCTTCACTCTGGATAATGTGGATTATCCACTTAGGTAATCTGGACTATGTGGCAGTTATATTATTATTATATTATTATTATTATTATTATTATTAGTAGTAGTAGTAGTAGTAGTAGTAGTAGTAGTAGTAGTAGTAGTTATATTATATTATTAGTAAAGCACAGGAAACAAAATGGAACTGTCTTCTGCCTCTCTCTTCACTCTGGATAATGTGGATTATCCACTCAAATAATCTGGATTATGTGGCAGTGTAGAAGGGGCCTCGGGTGGAAATTGTGTATTTAGGAAGTGAAATGGATTATATGAGTCTTCACTGCCATATGCAATCCAGATGATCTGCTTTGAACTAGCAGTGTGGACACTTAGATAATCTGGACTATGTGGCAGTTTTATTATTATTATTATTATTATTATTATTATTATTATTATTATTATATTAGTTGCATTACATTACATTACATTACTTTATTAGTAAAGCACAGGAAACAAGATGGAACTGTCTTCTGCCTCCCTCTCTCTTCACTCTGGATAATGTGGATTATCCACTCAGATAATCTTGATTATATGTCAGTGTAGAAGGGGACCTGATTCTGGATGCTAAGCAGGGCCAGCCCTGGTTAAGACTTGGGTGGGAGATCACCGAAAATGACAGCCTTTCAAAGAACTGGCAAAAAGAAGGAGCTGGGTTTATTATTATTATTATTATTATTATTATTATTATTATTATTATTATTAATTATTTTAAGAGTGTAAAGCACAGGAAACAAGATGGAACTGTCTTCTGCCTCTTTTTCTTCACTCTGGATAATGTGGATTATCCACTCAGATAATCGGGAATATATGTCAGTGTAGAAGGGGACCTGATTCTGGATGCTAAGCAGGGCCAGCCCTGGTTAAGACTTGGGTGGGAGATCACCGAAAATGACAGCCTTTCAAAGAACTGGCAAAAAGAAGGAGCTGGGTTTATTATTATTATTATTATTATTATTATTATTATTATTATTATTATTATTATTATTTATATTATATTATTAGTAAAGCACAGGAAACAAGATGAAACTGTCTTCTGCCTCCCCCTCTCTTCACTCTGGATAAAGTGGATTATCCATTCAGATAATCGGGAATATATGGCAGTGTAGAAGGGGACCTGATTCTGGATGCTAAGCAGGGCCAGCCCTGGTTAAGACTTGGATGGGAGATCACCGAAAATGACAGCCTTTCAAAGAACTGGCAAAAAGAAGGAGCTGGGTTTATTATTGTTGTTGTTGTTGTTGTTGTTGCTGGTTGTATTTTCTTCTTTAAAGGAGTTGCAAGGAGAGGCCGGGTAATATATTAAATTACACTATAATAAAAACATGGGAAAGTCTGATTAAACTGCACAAACTTGGTTTTTTGGGGGGCTCCTAGAGCACATTTCAATACATATAAATGTCGTAAATAAATCTATATAAATAAAAATGTAATGTTTGTTTGTGGGATTAACATAACTCAAAAACTACAGGATAAAATGACACAAGATTTGGCCAGAAGACACCTAAGGGACCAACGAGTGACCATCACTCATGAAAACACTGAAAAACAGAGTGGAAGGGGCTTAAAACACCCCCAAACCTAAATGATGATACAGTGCATGTGTGGAAACAACTCCTCTGACCCTGACCCTGACCCTGACCCCTCCTGCGCACCATTGGGAGGAAAGAAAGAGGTAGAGAAGTAAGAAAGGAGAGAAAGATGAAGGGAAAGAAAAAGTGGGGAAGGAAGGAAAAAGGGAGGGAAAGAAGGAAGGAAGGAGAAAAGGAAAGAAAAAAGAAGGAAGGAATTAAATCAGGAGGGAAGGAAGGAGAGAAGGAAGAAAAGAGAGAAAGAATGAAGGAAGGAAAAAGACATAGGAAAGAGAAGGAGAGAGGGAAAGAGGGAAGGAAGGAGAGAAGAAAGGAAGAAAGGGAAGAGGTAGAGAAGGAAGGAAGGATAGAAAGAAGGGACAGAAAAGGGGGATAAGGAAGGAAAGAGGGAGGGAAGGAAGGAGAGAGAGAAAGAATGAAGGAAAAAGACATAGGAAAGGATGGAGAGAAGGAGAGAGGGAAAGAGGGAAGGAAGGAGAGAAGAAAGGAAGCAAAGAAAGAGGTAGAGAAGGGAGAAAGGAGAGAAAGATGACGGGAAAGAAAAAGTGGGGAAGGAAGGAAAAAGGGAGGGAAAGAAAGAAGGAAGGAGAAAAGGAAAGAAAAAAGAAGGAAGGAATGAAAGCGGGAGGGAAGGAAGGAGAGAAGGAAGGAAGGAAAGAGACATAGGAATGGATGGAGAGAAGGAGAGAGGGAAAGAGGGAAGGAAGGAGAGAAGAATGGAAGCAAAGAAAGAGGTAGAGAAGGAAGAAAGGAGAGAAAGATGACGGGAAAGAAAAAGTGGGGAAGGGAGGGAAAAGGAAGGGAAAGAAGGAAGAAAGGAGAAAAGAAAAAAAAGAAGGAAGGAATGAAAACAGGAGGGAAGGAAGGAGAGAAAGAAAGAGACAGGAAAGGATGGAGAGAAGGAGAGAGGGAAAGAGGGAAGGAAGGAGAGAAGAAAGGAAGGAAAGAAAGAGGTAGAGAAGGAAGGAAGGAGAGAAGGAAGGACAGAAAAGGAGGGAATAAGGAAGGAAAGAGGGAGGGAAGGAAGGAACCAGACTGAGGCCACAGCAAAGCGTGGCTGGGGACAGCTAGTGCAATATAAACAAAGTTTCTGAGGCAGAACAACTTTCCAAATAAGGACCTCACAATGAAACAGGAAATAACACTTTCGAACCAAGAACAGAACATTTTTCAAATATTGTAACCTATTCCTGAACCAGAAAACCAAGAGAGTGAGATACTACTCACCGGCCGGCCT